AAGATCCTTTCAATGGCAGCACAAGCATAGAGCAAGACAGAAAATGACTGAATCCTTTCACACTGACAATTTAAAATGTTGGTTTTGAAAATCAAACAAGAAAAAGAAAAGAAAAAGATAATAAGAAAAGAAAGACTGCATTTTAAAGGGGTCACTGGGTTGATCAGGCTTGTTGTCAGTGCAGACCGGATCCAAACCCTGTGTCCTGTCTCACAGTTTGAATCCAAATCTACACCAAAACTGAACCTGTCCTCCATCTCTCCACTGAGTTTCATGGAGTTCAGCCTTGTGCTTTTTGCGTAATCCAGCTAACAGACGAACCAATGCATCGACAACTCAAGACAGAGCTGATTTCCTAAAATGATCCCACATTAATAATGATGAGCACAGCTTTGGCATAGCGGCTTAAATGCATCTGGCTCTGCCCTTTGCTGCAAAACAAATTCACATTTATTACTAACTGGGTCTTCCACTTTTTCCACTTGAACACGATCGGTTTCCCCCCAGCAGCAGATGGTAACAGGAGCTTGATAGTGGCCTTGTGGGAGACTTGTGCTTTCCTGTAATCATCCTGATCAGAACTAGCTGGTTGTAAACTGGTGTTAAATCAGACTCACAGACACTGAGAGCAGCCTGACAGATGGACACCGGCTGAGCGAAGGTAGAAGTACTGAATGAAACATGCTTTAAAATACCACCACAGTCCAATCGTTGGTCGAAGCTACAACAAATACAGAAAGAATAAGACAGGTGTGTGAAATCAGAGGACAGAACAGCGAGACGTTGACTTTACTTATGTGGGAAAACATCTCGTCGTCAGATGAATGTCTCCTCTTGTTTTCTGTTTTATGTAACTCAAGCTGAGGAATTAGATTTGCACCCAGACGCATTCATGATCGCAGAGCATCCCGCCTTTATTTTGATGGGTGTCGCGCTACGATACAGTCAACAGACACAAAGCCGCCATCAGCACATTACGTCTCGCGTTACTTTTGTTTGACGTCGACGCTTGACCTCTTGTGTCGTCGCCTCGTCTCTGGTTTCACATTGTAGCGCTGCATTGTTGTCTTCTTCCTCCGCTGCTCCTCAGGAATACAAATTGCTTCTCACAATGTTTTTGGTTACGGTCGGGGAAGCTAGAATCCCGACGCCGAGATGATCCTCGTGAAACAAACAATAAAACGGATTCTCAGGTTTTCTACAGGCGGCGTTTCTTTAAAGACGCTGGATGTCTAAAAGTAACTCAAAGAGAGACTCCAGGGGTAAAAAATCTTCAAGAATACAAAAGCAAATTTAGATTTTTTCACTCCTGCTGCTGGACTGTTCATGTCATATAGGATTCAGATCAACACAAGTATCAGTTTAAATACTTTACAAACCCCCAAAGTATTGAAGCCTGTCGTGTATAACTTTGATTTGATTGAGTCGAATACAGTTTGGTCTTGTGAGCCTGCAGGAGTTTCTATTATTATTTATCCTCTGTGTCCTTTTGTTGTGAACTTTCAAGGCTATTTTTCTTCTAAGCTCCTCTATATATAAAAAAATACCACATTCTTCTTAATCCTGGAACACAAACAGTGAAATGGAAGGAAACAGTGAATACACACTTTTACGCTATAAATAAGAACACGCAGGTTTAATTCCATTCAATTACAGCCAAGACTTTTATTTTAGGATTCAGAAATGTCGTGTTTAAAACCGCTCACACTTTTAATTTCACAGATGTGAGACGCGTCTATATGCGGTGAACGGACACTCGGTCCAACAGGAAGAGCAGATGGCTGGAGGTAAATAAACGTGTAATGTTGCATGTTCGCAGCTCTGTGGCAGAATCAGATTAAATTAGGAGACACCAGAGTCTGTCCTCGCCCAGCTGTTAACGTAAGAGACGAGAAAGGCCCAAAATCTAATCAGGTACTTTTACATTACACTCCTGAATCTGTTGCTTAGATAATAAAATGTTTTCACACAGAGTGAGCTTTAAATCACTCATCAGATCGTTTTGTATAACTTCTGATTGAACTGTCTTTCAGTTAAAGTATTTTCCTGTATTATAAAGAATATATAATGTCCATTTTAGGGCGGCACGTTTAATTCCAGACTTGTAAAGGGTTGTTTTGTCTGACTGACCTACATAAATAACACATGTATTGATCAGGCCTTTGATGTCAACACTGATGCCACCCAGGATGATGTCTCCTAAACCCAACAGACGGGAGAGTTTGGGGTAACGACGGTGACATGAATCCTCAGTATGAAGCATCTGCTAAACCAATTAAACGCAGCGTAATGTAACGCTACCAGACCGCGGCATCTGCCCAGTTGGACCACACAAAGTGTCTCCGGTGGCAGAATGGAAGTCCAGGACGTCTGAAGGACCAACACTAGGATGGACGGGTCTGAACTCAAAGACTCGTGTTGTTTTTTATTTTTATTTAGCTTTTATTTAACCAAGACAGCAGCCTGAGAAGCTTTAAACAATTAAAAGCGAATAACATCAGAAGTAAAAACACATGTGAGATATAAGCAACAGGAATGTGTGTGAACTGGACCTGCTGAGCTTCGACTGTAACTGTGTGAGATATTATAACATCTGATCCATCACAGACCTCAGTCTCCACGTTCATTTGCTTTGTTTTCCAGGTTTGTTCACTTCTCACTGTCCATCATCACACATCTGAACATGTGATGTAATCGTCACAGAACCGTTGCTGCAGCTTGAATCAAACATTTTTAGACTTGAGCAACTCTGACGTGTTTCCAGATCAAGCAGCTCCACATATCAAGAGGAGCTGAACATGTCTGTTGTGGAGCTGGACTCAACTTCTGACCCATGTTTGGAGGGTTTTAGCATATTATCTGTAGAGCCACAACATTTGCGTTGACCACTGAGGATGTAAAACTTATCTGACTGACCTAACCAGACATGCAGTGAGAATGATACAGAGAAAGAAATGATGCCTGGTACACAAATGATCAAATCTGTCAAATATCAAACTCAAACAAAAGTCAGGTACCTGTGGATGATTTATTAGCAGCATTTCATCTCACATTTAGCATCACAGCAATCTTTAGACTGTAATAAAAACCAGAACATCCAATAATATGAAGCCGACTGTTCACTGATTAATACTTTACAGTAGTAGCTGTAAATGAATTAATGTGGTTGTTTTAGTCTTATTTTCAACATCTTTATAAAATACAGACCAATCACATTTTAAGCCTGTTAAATGAGTTTACTGGTTTAGTGTGGAGCTCTTCAATCTGTTTGTTGTACTCTACTGCCAGCATGTGGTGAGAAGAGGTTTCTGCTGAAGGGATGATCTCTTTGCTTGTAATAAGCCAACAGCATGTTGTCACTTACATCTGGATCACTTTGATTTGTTAACTTTATAGTTTATGGATCTTATGGTCATCTCATGGTGGCCAGGTAACAGCATTACAGTCACCCTGATTCTTATCAAATAGATATAGACAGATTATTTCCAAAAACAATATTTATAAAACAGAGTGAGTCAGTGAATGCAGCAAACACTACATGTCAGTGTGATAAAGAGCTGAACATATATGTATTTATTCCTCTGCTGCTGTTTCTTAAACTGTTTACATTTTGTTCCTCTGTAGTAAAAATGTTTAAAATGATCTTAGTAAACTGTGCAGCGTCATAAATTCTAATTATAACAATAAAACCTCTTTAAATGACTCTTTAGTTCAATGTGATGAAACCAAAAATGCTGGTATGCAACAGATATATAGTTGAGATCAGGCTAAAATCAACGGCATTAAAAAGCAGGGATGTCATGAGGGGCTCCACACTCGCAGCTAGAAGGTCGCCGGTTTGTGTCCCGGTTAGGACGCCCTCATGGAGTCTCCATGTTCTCCCCGTGCAGCGTGGGTTCTCTCCAGATTTGATCTGCTATTTTGTTTTGAACTATTTATTGGGTTGATCTTCCTTTAGGCTCCACTGGACTGTTGGGGACACCTCTTATTGGTTTACCCCTTGTGGTTAGTTTTGGTTTTTGTGTATCCCTGTTTTTGTTATCCTGATTGGCCACTCCCATTATTCTGTAATCGTGCCACGGTTAGTTTAGTTTGTTGTTTTTTTAGTATTTTTCTAGTCCCCCCTCTTTTTTCTTTTTTGCATCTGATCAGTAGTTCCTTGTTCAGTTTCGTTTCCCCAGGCTTTAGACTCACTATTCTGGACTAGTTTGAGTTCTGGCTTGCTTCGTTCTTTAACATGCACGTGGGTCCAAACCTGTTCTGTGATGAGGGATTCTTTTGTTTGGTAATTTGAGGATGTTGTGTTGGAAACTGGAATGAAGCCTTCATCCCTGAAGCCAACAAAAAGCTCAAAATACTGACTTTGATAACTGGGAGTGTGATTACCGCCACCATCTGTTCTCTCTCCTCAGCTTTTATTTTCAGCCTGAATGTGCACCATCTCTCTATTTTTGGATTCCTTCATAACAAACCTGAAAATATCACAAGTTTCTAGGTTTGTTTTTCCGCTTTGAGAAAACAAGTTTTAGAAGTCCAGGACAATAGCTGGAGACGTGGAACTCGGGGAACTTGTCATTTGAGCTACAAGCCTTTTATGTAATTACCTCAGATGTGGGTCCTTTTTATAGGACGGTTACATCAGATCCTGCTCATCATCGAATGCGTATCAAACACAATGCGTGTTATGTGACTGATTCTAATCTTCACTTACACTTAAGCTGAGTCTTAAGTCAGACGCATACGGGTCCACTTAAATCAGGTTCTTATCTAACCAGCGCCGGCACGGTTAAGCTTCCTCAGTCATATCTTGATTTAGGTTGAGTTTCCTCTTATATATCACATCCAGGTCTGAGCTGCCGGGTTCAGATGTGTCCACTCAGTGTGAGAAGCAGCTGAATGAGATGAGTGGAGAAGCTCTATGAAAACGTCCTGCTCTCACATGCTGTAAGTACCAGACGCTGCTGCTGCTGCTGCTGTTGATCTGCTTTAAGGGTTGATATCTCCGTTTAATTCATGTGCTCAGATGTTTTGTAGTTGGGACAAGTTATATATATATATATATATATGACTGTTTTCCCTGAAGTTGTCTCCACATGGACCTGACAGATTAAAGTACGGACATCTCATCTGTGTCCTCTCGATCCACCAACCTGATCAACAGCAAGAAGTTCTCTGAAGCAAACTCCACTGAACACCCATGACTCTCTCTTTGGGTGCAGTCCTGCTATTCTGCTATTAGTCACCCTCAGGAGCTTCAGGAGTTCTTTTCTGTTAAAAGTTATTCCCTAAAAGGATCGAACTATGTCGGGAAATTCATGTAGATTTGTTAAGCAAAGGTCACGTTGCATTAAACCGCCATCCTGACTCATGGTTGGAAAAAGTTGATAGTATGACAAAATAAATAAACACTTTATCTTCTTTATCTGAATCTATTAATTAACGTTGGATTTATGTATAACCAAGGCTCACCTCTTTTTCATTTCAGTTTGAGTGAACTGTGAATTAAAAACACGACTTTACTGCTTACTTTGACATTTCCCCTCTCACACAAACCCAACAGGGACTGTGACGACCAGCTAGCCGGCGACAAGGATGCGAGGTAACCTGCTTCTGTTTTCACATTCACCCCGATAGCACTGAAACAGGAATGAAAGCCTCGTCCTTGTTGTTGATGCTGCAGGAGGACTCGCAGCCAGCTGGAGAAGAGACGCAGGGACAAGATGAACAGCTTCATAGACGAGATGGCATCATTAGTGCCCACATGCAAAACTAAATCAGGCAAACTGGACAAACTGTCGGTGCTGGGGATGGCAGTTCAGCACATGAAGATGCTACGAGGTGACAGACTGGTGATTCTCACACTCTGTGGCTGAGGATGATTCAGGGCCTGACTCACAGTTTTTGTCTCCGTCTCAGGTTCTGCTGCCAATTGTTGCACAGAAGTTCATCACAAACCTGCGTTCTTATCAGACGAAGAGCTCAAACACTTAATACTGAGGGTAGGAGGTCTTTTGTTTTCTTCCAAAATGAAAAATGTGCTTTACAGTAAATCAACAACAACAAACCTTTAGAAACAGCTCAACTACAGCCTTAAACTACAGGATTACTTTTTCCTAATTTAAAACAAAGCAGCACCTGTACAATTAAAGATCTAATATTTGGTTTGAAAGAAAACTGTTGTCTCTGTAATGTGCGATAGATTTTATCTCAGTGTCGCTCTGCTGCTCAGCCTCCCTGATACTTGTCCATTCACGTCGCTCAGTTAATCGAGCCGACCCGTGACTCAGATGTTCTGCGAGCCACCGACGAAAGAAAAGCTCCATAATTAAGTCACGACCTGTGGTGTGTTTGTCACAGTGGTTTAATGGTTACACTGAGAACCATTATTGAATCATTCTTAAGATGTGCACTCGGGCAGCGTCGTGCTCCTCCTGTGCCTCTCTGTCTTTGCAAATCAGAATTAGAATAAAAAAATAGATAAAAAATATACTTCAAAGCAAATCTAGTGCTGACCAGATCACATCTTCTATCAACACAATGAGGGAATGAATATGTTTGGTGGAGGTGATGATAATAAATATATCATTAGAAGGTTAACGTGCTGGTTTTCTAAAAAAATATCCACCAGTAGCAACACATCTGTTTCTACTGAGAACAGCTTTATTTTCTTTTTTTCTTGTTGTTGTTGTTTTGGGTAAGTTTAATGATCGTGTTCCTCTCCCAGGAAAAGACAGATTAGTCAGCGAAGGTGAGATGAAGCAGGTGGGCAGCAGATGGAGGAATTACACGCCTGTATTTTATTTGTTTTGAGCAAAAGTTTTCAGGTTTTCATCATTTGGATTTAAAGTTTTGCAAGTGAAGAGTTCCAACTGACAGAGGCTCATGTTTTTATTTATTTATTTATTATTGCAGTAGAAGTGACGTCATTATTTCTTTTTGATTCACAGATTGTACTTTTAAAGACGTAATTGCTGTGATTTATTTTGAAAATGGATTCATGGAGATGAACCAGCTCTGCAGGATGTTTTAGAGTCGTTTAGCTCTTGTTGTTTTTTCACTATGACTACTTTCATTAAAATTCTCCACTGCAGCAGGAAGCAAAAAGGTTCCTATAAATCACATTTAACAGCTGACGGTGAATATAACAGAGAATGTTACGGCTACAAAGCAGGATAATTTTCTCTGGAGTTGATTGAGAGTAAAACAGAGCTAAAAAAAATAAAAATAAAATAAAGAACAGTCACACAAACAGGACTCTAAATGAACATAAATCTTCACCGTTTCAGTTTATAGATGATAAACTGCTTTGTTTACAGTTTGCTGTACGACCCCAAAGTGGGCAAAAGTCAATGAATGCAGGTTTAAAGTCATCTGGAGGTTGGTCAGTGAGGATATCAAGCATCATGAGACATTTAGAGCCTAAACTAACACCAAAACTGTGGAGGTAGAAAGAGAGTCGAGCTGGGAAACGTAATCTCTAAACCAGTCTCCTGAACGACGTGATATGAGTTCTTGACCACAGGTAGAGACTGAGCAGCTGACATGTGATTCTACTGCAGGTTAGCTGATTTCTAAGGTCATCTCTGGAAGTATTAGAGGATTATATTTCCATGGTTGCTCAGGAATACATTGGTAACGTTTCAAGGGAAGAGAAAAAGACTGTTCCGAATCAAAAAGCAGGCTACAAAAAAAATCAATCGATCGAGGCTGAAGGTGTGTTTGCACCACAAACACAACAATGTTTGTGCCACCAAGAGCTATTGGTCAACTCTTGGTCTTCACATTTGCTCATGCAGATGTTAGGACTTGTGATCGTCCCTGTAAAAGGTCTGATGTGGCCTTTTTCTCTGTCATCAACAGGCAGCTGATGGCTTCCTGTTTGTCGTTGACTGTGAACAAGGGAAGATACAGTTTGTTTCTGAATCTGTACACAAGATCCTAAAGTACAGCCAGGTAGGTGCTGCTCAGTGTTTGTCTGATGTAAAATAACAAGTGAATCTCAGCCCAGTGTGCGTCGCATTTCACTCTATCAGTGCTGCATCTTCACCTCTCCTGTGTTTCATCTGTTCACCTGCAGAATGAGCTGATTGGAAAGAGCCTCTTTGATTACCTGCATCCTAAAGACATCGGCAAAATCATCGAGCAGCTGTCCTCAGCAGACGCTGCCCCGCAAGACATCGACATCGATGGAAAAAGTAATCCGTGTTTTCCAGGCGACCTTTTAGTGAAGACGGACATCAGCCCGGGCTCTTTAGGATTTTCTTCGGGGAAGAGACGTTCGTTTTTCTGCAGGATGAAGTGCAACAGAAGTACAGACGATGAGAAATGTTCTTCCACAGGTAGTAGCCCACATCCAGGGAACTGATCTATTGGGCTCTGCTGGTTAATCAGTTATGCTTATGTGTTGATATGATCATTTTATAGTAATTAGGGTCCGAGCACCCAAAAGGGTGCGAAGACCCTATTGGAACTGCTCGGAATATTATTATTATTCGTGCCAAAGACACGCGTTTTTGAGGCCCTAAACATACTCGAAAACTCACCAAAATTGCCATGTACATCAGACA